AATAGACAGAATCTCGCCAGACTAAATCTATACCACAACAACAGTAACTATAACCATGATGCCCTGGTGGGGGCAGTCTCATTCTCTTGGCTTTCCCACACTCCAGCTGGGGACTTAGAAGATGCTTCCCCTGGAATGTCTCTTCCCCCTCCTGGCAACCTTGAAGCTCTATTCCAGAACCTTCCCTGCTCAGATCTTCCATCACATCATTCCCTTTACCACTACAAGGCAATGATCCATGAAGGTGATTCATTTACAGTATATTGATCATATTGTTTAATGTAAGACTTTCAGAGTGGCTTGTTTGATCAATGACAACATAGCAACATTTTTCAGCTTTTTAGAACATTATAAACAATATATGTTTGAGAAAAAATTAACTTCTTGCTATCTTTTCGCTATAATGTTTCAAGTATTGGTGTTCTTTTCAATATGCATTATTTTGCATACGCTACTATCTTTTTCAATATATCAAATACACCTAGTTTTCTGGAGGTCTGCTTATATAGTAGATGATAATTTTTAAAAAATTGCTTTCTAGCCTGTTACATATCTATTCCTGATATATAAAGGGGACTATGATTTAAAGCTTGTATAGCTTTTAAGAGAAACCAAGTACTATAAAGTGGTATAATTCTAATTTATACTAAGCAGAACATAGTATAAATCCTATGGATCAAGTTCCTTAACAAAACGATAAAAAATAAGTAGCTTACTTGAATAATTATTGGAGGATAGGAACTGTCACTACAATGTGTTGATAAGAGTGGTCAGTGAATAGTCTGTGAAATAATCAGATTTCTTTTTTTTCTCCTTTCGTATTCTGAATTTCATTTGGATGAAAGAAGCATGCTATAGTGCCTTTTTGGGGCACTGCTGTATCTAGCTTATTTTAAAGTGTTAAATAACTTTTTTTTAATGCAGGAATCAAAGCTACCTTAGGAAAATGAATTTATAGTTTAAAGTCTAGAAAATTTTCATGTTCAAAACTATCTCCCGCAGTGGCTGAGATCACAGTCATACTAAGCAAAGGTTTGCTTAATCATGGCTATTGAATAAGCCAAAATTGTCAGGGTTCACACATTGTAAAGCATAGTTCATGGGTTTGCTAAGATGAAACCAAACAAACTGCACTGAGGACTAGCATGGAGTTTGAACCTAGTCATTACATTACTAAGTGACAAACATGTTGTTTGACTAGAGTACTCCAGTCTTAGCACACTGTGACAGTTTCTGAAATCACTGAATCCCACTCTATTGGACAATTTTTGTCGAATAGCTAACCTCCACTTTCTAGGGAAAGTGGTTGATAAGGTGGTTGCGCAGCACCTTCAGAGGACCTTAGATAAAGCGGATTATCTGGATCCCTTTCAGTCAGGATTCAGACCTGGGTATGGGGTGGAAATGGCATTAGTCATGCTTTTAAATGATCTCTGGCAAGAGCAGGATGGGGGTTGTGTATCCATTCCTTACCCTACTTGACCTCTCTGTGGTTTTCGATACCATCAACCATGGTATCCTTCTGGATCAGCTCAGGGGATTGGGGGTGGGTGGCATTGTGTTGTGCTGATTTACCTCCTTTCTTTGCGGTCAGTCCCAGTCAGTGGTGATTGGAGAGGAAAGATCCCGCCCCCCGGCCCCTACTGTGTGAGGTGCTGCAGGGTTCAGTGCTCTCTCTGCTCCTATTCAACATCTACATGAGGCTATTGGGTGAGATCATCCGTCACCAGGGAGTGAGGTTTCATCAGTATGCTGTTGATACCCAATTATACATCTCTGCCCCTGGGGAATTAAGTGATGCTATGGATGTCTTATCCCTGTGTCTGGAGTCTGTGAGGGTCTGGATGGCAAACAACAAGCTTCAGCTGAATCCTGACAAGACTGAGTGGCTTTGGGTTTTGGGGCCTGCTGGTTCTAAGACTATGCTATCTTTGGTGCTGGATGGGGTTGTATGGTCCCAGACAGACCCATGTGCAATCAAAGAGCAGGTGGCAGTCATGGCTAGGAGGGCCTTTGCACAGCTTCATGTTTATGTCACTTACACCTGTTCCTAGATCAGGGGGCTCTGCTCACAGTTACTCATGCCCTAGTCACCTCCCAATTGAATTATTGTAATGCGTTCTACATGGGGCTGCCCTTGAAGAGTATCCGGAAACTTCAGCTAGTGCAGAATGCAGTGGTGCAGGCAGTTCTGTGTGCTTTTAACACAGCACATGTTATGCCTCTGCTTTGCACGCTGCATTGGTTGCCAGACTGCTTCTGGGTCCAATTCAAAGTGCTGGTTTTGACCTTTAAGGCCCTTCATGGCATGGCACTGGGTTATTTGAGGGACCACCTCTCCCCAATTACATCTGTTCGTCTCAACAGATCTGGCAAGAAAGGCATGCTGCAGGTCCTGTCTGTCAGGGAACTACACTTGGTGGGCCTGAGGAGGCAGGCCTTCTCTGCTGTGCTGCCTGCGTTATGGAACATTCTCATCCCCGCCCCAAGTAGTGAGGTCAGCTCCATCCTTGTTGATTTTCTGGAAGGCTTTGTCATCAGGCCTGGGAGTCTCAGGGGTCCAATGAGATCTTGAGGTGACTCCATTGCTGATCAAATTTTGTGTATGTGTATGTTTGTATTTTAATTTTTTTAATACGACTGTGTTTGACATGTTTATTTTTTTTATACCTTTTTGTGGTATGCTGCCAAGAGTGACTTCTTGTGCGATGGGCAGCCATATAAATTTGATAAAGAAATAAAGAAATAAGTCCTGTCTGTTGCAAAGCAACAGGATAGAAATGGGAAGGATTGATATTTGCTGTCTCCAAATTTGAGGGGAAAGGGTATGAAAAAGTACCATTCCATTGCTTATAATGGAAGGCAATATATTTAGACAAGCTCAGTTGTTTCTGAGCACATGCCCTGATTTTTTTTGTACTAAAGCTAAGCGTTATTCCTGATTTCCAAATGTTCCTCTTAGCAGCTTAGCTCAGAACAATAAACAACTCTTTTATTAATAGTCACCCTTAAATAATTGGGAATTTTGTTTAAGAATAATATTAGCTTAATGTACATGATCTAGGGTCTACCAGTAATCCTACTTCTGTTTTTTTGTCTTAATTCATTACACTATTCCCTACAGGTGCAACAGGAAAAAACAGTTTGCAGATCAAGCCTTAGAATGGACAGTTACTTTAAAGCAGCTGTCTCTGATTTGGACAAATTACTTGATGAATTTGAACAGAATGCAGGTTGGTTCATTCTTTGTATCTTCTTCTATGTGTATATGAGCAGCAAGTATAAAAATTCATAACACTCTATTCTTATGTATGTTATATCATTGGCATACATAGTGTTTTCCAGACAAATCTAAATTTACAATGGACAAATAAGGTGATGGGGAAAATATAAGGAAATGTAGAATGTAGACAGTATTTATCATTGAGAGAACAATGTGTGTAGGAAGTGTATGGTGAAATTCTTAATAATATGTTTCTTATTTTTTTTTAGATGAACTTGAAAATAACAGCACTATAAATCTTCATAATTCTGAGCACCACTTAGTTTTGTCAGATTCATCTTACCAGCAGCCAAAACCCTTTGAGCCAAATGCAGAAGAAAATGTCAGTTGTGTTATATCAGATGAACTCTCATTATCTTCTCAAACTACAAAAGTTGCAAATTTTGAACAATTGAACTCTGACCAGAATGAGAAAAATGTTACTGGTTTAGATCTTCTGTCCATGGTGGGTGGTGGTTCTTCAGATAAAAATCAGTCATCTTGCTTGAAGGGATGCAGTATACCTGTCTGCGATCTTATCAGTGACACAGGTGGTTTGACCCAACTAAAAGGTAACTTGGGATGCATTCAAAAGTTGCAGCCAGATGACTCTCAGTGTAGTCTTTCTATTGATGGCTTTGATTTAGCTCTACTGTCAACCAAAGGTAATAATTCATTGGTTGATTGCATTTCTGATTCTGGGACACAGCAACAAATTGATGAAACACTGTACAAAATACAATATAATGCAGCAGGAGAACTTAATCAATGCGAATTAAAGACAGATGTTCCTTTTGAACCAAATATAGCAGACTCTGGTGAAGATCAAGAAAAAACAAAACATTTGAACAATAATGAAGTATTTGACCAGAAAGAACAAGTGATAGGAATTGATATGGTATCAACTTTAGTAACTCATCTTTCAGCTGCACTTGGATCCAAAGATGAATCAACATGTGAAAAGCTGCCTTGTGAGACATTACTGGATGAAAATAATTCAAAAAGTCAAATGACACATGATAAGAGTGACAAGCAAGCCATTTCAGAAGATGTAAATGAATCAGAAGCCTTGAATTTGCCAAAGATCCATGAAGTAAATAATCGCAACATAATATGTAACAAAAAACTTTTATGTGATTCTACTCTTCAGACAGAAAATGTGCTAGCTTTGGATAAAGAACATAGCACAATTGACAAGTTTTGTAATGTACAACAATACACTGATACAACTTTAAATACGGTTTCAGTACCAGAGATCTCTGAAGATATACAGACTTCATTATCCTGTCTTCCACTTGCTGTTTCTATATGTGCATCATTAGTTAATACTGATGACACAAATGGAAAGATTACTCAGAAAGAAGATGTCATTAGTGACATAGCTCTGCACACTGAAAATAGCCTTCCTAAAGACGAATTTTTTGGAGAAATAGAAATTTCAGAAAAGGAGAACGGTCTCAACAAAACCAATGAATGTGGGATAGAAAAATCTTCCTCAACAAATAGAGAGTATGTTGTTTCTAGTAATTGTGAGCCTTTCCAACATCAGGATTCTATTGCTACTACTAGTCCTTTTTTGGCTGCAGATACTGAAATGTGCAGTGTTTTGACTGTTGATGTTGATGAAAGACCTTTTGTTGATCTAGCTTTAGAAGAAGACATTATTGGAAGCAACATGCTCATTAGTGATACTGAGCTTGATGCCTTTTTGTCTGAACATTGTCTTGAAGCAAATAATTCAAAGCCTCTGAAAGAAGATACTAGCAGTGGACTTTTGGAATCTGATGTAATAAATGACAACTTACTGGATATAAGCCATATGAGTATCAGAAGTGATAGCATACAAGCAGAACTGGAATTTAAGAAAGCAAAAACTTCCATTGAAAATAATTGTATCTGTATTCCGGAATCTAGCTTAGGGATCCCAGTGGAAAAACACACACAGCAGGTTCAACAAGAGGCTATAGAGAACACAAATGAGATTGGAAATGAAGTTTCAGATTCAATAAACGGCCAGCCAACAGTGCATAGTGGAGGAGCAAGACCAAAGCGGCTGCTAAACCTTCAACCAAATGCCACAATCCCTTCTGAGTTCAGCAATAAAAATACATCTGGGAGTGAATCCCAAATGATAAACTCCACAGACTCGAGTACGTTCCTCTCAGATGATAAAATTTCTCCTGAATCAGACTTTAGCTATAATAATGCTGATGGACAAAGATGCTTGGGAAACACGGAAGAAAATGTCTTACCTGTGATTTCGGAGCCAAGTAAAGTAGTGGGACAAGCTATAGCCTTGGGACAGAAGCAACCATCCTGGGTTCCTGACTCAGAAGCACCAAAGTGCATGAATTGTCAAGTCAAATTCACATTTAGAAAAAGAAGACACCACTGTCGTGCCTGTGGGAAAGTAAGTAAAATAAACCATTTTTTCTTGTCTGCTCATCTTTATAACTCTCCATTTAGTAGCTGAGGAAAAGGGGAATTTTTTGCCCTTTTGCCTGCAAAAAAAATTCCTTTTACTAACCGTTTTTCTTCACTCAGTTAAAATCAACTTTGATCAGCATGTAAACTTTTTGGTCTGATTTATTGAAAATGTTTCTGGTTATTGACTAAAACATATGCTTTGGTAATTTTGTAAACTTTGTGGTTTTTCTAAAGTCATATTCACTGACTTCTTCAAGCCAATCTCATGCTGTAGAATTAATTTATTTGAGCTTTGTTATCTAAGTGATTTTTGTCTATGCTGGTACTAAATTACAAATGTAATAGCTCTCTGCTGCCTTTATTCTTCTAGTTTATGATTTTTCTAATTAGTAATATATGATCTTAACCTGTTGCTACATCAAAATACATACATTCATATACCTATAAAATCTTAATGCAGCTTTTGTGCTAATCTAGGTTTTTTGTGCTCCCTGTTGCAATCGAAAATGCAAACTCCAATATCTGGATAAAGAAGCAAGAGTCTGTATAAGCTGCTATGAGTCCATTAACAAAGGTAAAATTTAGTTGGAGAGAATTAGAAGAAACAGAAAAAGTAACTAGAATAATTTTTGAATGTTGGAACAAGTCTTCTGAATGTGAACAACATGGTGTGAAGTATTTAAGATGAAATAAATATGAAAACCTATTTCCGTATGTTCTATTTGAAAAGAGAGCATCCTTTAAAATTACTTCAATTTAATGATTAATTTGTTGCTCGTAAATACTAATAGAATATGAATTATTTCACTTGATTAGATGATGCATATCCTTTTAGTTATCGTGTTAAAGCTGATTTGCAGTTCTCTACTTGCACAAAAGTTCTAAACAAAGCTCAGTCAGAAATCTGAATACGCACCTGAAAAGTATATAACCTTGCATTAAAATTAACATAAGAATAGTCCTCAATCTGCATTATGTACATCTGTGATTGAGATAAAGATAGTTCTTGGGTTATGATCATTCTTTCAGAGACTGTTCAAAGTTACAACAGCACTGAAAAAATGAACTTACCATTGGTCCTTGGAGTTTCAGCCATTGCAGCGTCCCCACAGAAGCAATGAGCATGAAACTGAGCAAACTCAGGGAGGCAGTGAAGGACAGGAAGGCCTGGCGCGATATGGTTCATGGGGTCACGAAGAGTCGGATACGACTTAACGACTGAACAACAACACAGTCACGTAATCAAAATTCAGGTGCTTGGCAACCAGATCACGTTTACAACCATTGCAGTGTCCCACAGTCATGTTCTCCTGCCCTGTGCAAACTGCCTCCACTTCAACTCCCCCCACCTGTCTATCTCCTCACCCATCTCTGGCCTTTTGGCTGCCCTGCACAGCATGGCCGAGATGAAGACATTGCTGTATAATGCCGCTGCCTACCCTCTGCCGCTGCTGCACCCAGAAGGCCTTTCTTCCTGACCTCCTCCTTGGTGCCATCATCATCTTCTTCCTCCTCTTCCTTCTCCTCAGCATCATCTTGCCTCCCCTTTTCTGGGCTTGCTGATGCCACTGGCTTCAAGCCCTGTGGCGCAGGGGCTCTGTCAGTGCTGGGATCAGAGGTAGCAGTGAGAGGTGGGGGCAAGCCCAGCACTGACAGAACCCCCATGCCATGGAGCTAGAGGCTGGCTGGCATCAATGAGCAGAGCAGAGGGAAGGAGAGGTGATGCTGAGGAGGAGGAAGAAGACGATGACAGTGCTGAGGAGGAGGACAGGAAGGTCTGCTGGGGGCAGTGGCAGCAGCAGTGGGCAGGTGGTGGTGGAATACAGTGGTGTCTTAGCCTTGGCCGTATTGTGCAGTGTGGCCAAAAGGGCAGAGGTGGTGGTGGGGAGATGAAACGGAGGCAGTTCATGCAGGGCAGGAGAAGTGAGTCAGCCTCTTCTGGCTCAGTGATCCCCTGAAAATGTCACTTGCCTTGGAAGGACGGAGACTTGGGGCTGGGAGGGACCAAGCCAGGAATGGCTTGGATTAGGGTGGCAACTATTGGGAGATGGAAGACATGATCACCATTTGTGACCTTCCCAGCTGGCTTCTGACAAGCAGAGTCAATCTGGAAGCTGGCAGGAGGTTGCAAGTTGTGGTCATATGAGGACCTCACCTAATGACACATGGTCCTTGCCTAATGACCACAACCAGGACTGCCAGAACTGCTGTTGCTAAGCCGCGTGGTCACGTGACATTTTGTTTAATGACTGCTTTGCTTAGTGCCAGAAATTCCGGCCCTGATTAGAGTCATAACTCAAGGATTACCTGTACAGTCCTCTTCAAAATAAGCAATAATGATCTCCCATGTCATTTTTGTGCAAAGCATGATAACCATGAGAGCTAGTGTGGTGTAGTGGTGCACCAGGGAAACCAAGGTTTTAGTCCATCATTAGCCATGGAAGCTCATTAGATGACTCAGGGCCAATCACTCTCTCTTAGCCTGATCTACCAGATGGGTTTTTGTTGTGGGGAGAAGGGGAGGAGAATCCACCGTGTATCCCGTCTTTTGCTCCTGAACAAAAAGGTGAATATAAATCTTACAGAAAATTTCAGATGACAGCTTTTGGTAAGAAACTTAGAAGTATGAACCTTTCCAGGTTGTACAGGTGAAACTTGAAAAATTAGAATATCGTGCAAATGTTTATTTATGTCAGTATGGCAACTCAAAAGGTGAAACCA